CCCCCCCCCCACCTTAACAAGAAGAAAAAAACAGATTCTGCAACTGTTCCTGTTTACACACCAATTTTTGGGGATGACAATGTCACGATGGAACCTTAATTTTCATGACAAATTTCTATTGTCAATACAATACAAGTTGTCACATAAATACTTTGTACATATATACATAAAAAAATGTAAACTAGAAAAGCTTATTTTAGTTATTTTTGAAAAATCAGGAAAATAACTAGTGCACTTTCTGACCACTTTTTTAAAACCTTTACATTCATGTGAAATTTCACATGAATGAAGACGCTTCTCAGGATCAGAAAAAATCCATTCCTCTTTCGCACTAGTCAAGAAATTATTTTCAAAACATGATTGCTACAGTGCTGTGGTACATGGTAGTAAATATTATTTTTGAGACTTCCCACGTTACAGTACATCCAACTCTTTCAAACCATTGATGATATAATAATCAGAATTGTAAGTTAACATACAATACTGAATGATGATATTTACAAAGATGTTGTCTGAAAGATATACTTACAGTCCTATATAATACCTGTTTGTCATCAACTGTATCTTTTCTTGCATGGTTTCATTTATTGATGGTCAAATTAACCATCATAATTTATTTGATGAAAGGATTTCACAAGTGAGTTTCCGCTTAAGTGAGTGAAATTTTGATATTTTTTTTCTCAAGTTACCGTGGCAGTTATTTTAAAACTTAACTTATTATTTAATCATGGAATCAAATGTCTAGTATCTATATCATACCTAAGCCCTATTCTTCACCAGGGCATTAACCCAGCACAATCACAAGCATACACGTACACCATTTAACGTACACGTATACCACAAACATTTAATAGAGACCCCCCCCCCCNAGTATACCCACCAATAACTGCCACCACTGTTTACCTGTTGATTAGTGCACAGCTATCAATTTCACCTGTCTGGCTCCGGTTGTCATCCCACACCTGTTGATTGGCACCCTAAACTTCAAAGTGCTTGATGACCTTTGACCTCCGTTATACTTGGGGTCAAAGGATCTGTTTATCTGTTAAGCGTGCATGACTACTGACAATGCCCCTGCTGGCCCCATGGGGCAGCCCCTAAACAAATCTGTCCCTCCCCTCATACACTCAAGTAGTTACAAACGGTTTCCACCTGTACTCAGTGTAAACAACAAAGGCTCTAATACAGTAGGGGTTTCAGGTATAGAGACCCCTATTGAAAGAAATAGCCATTGATCACCTGTGGTTAAACAGTAAATGTACTGTTATGTCACTCCTAAACAATGATCGGTCAACATTTAACAACCTAACATAAATCCTCTTCACTTACTCTAGACTCCATTTAAATTAATTACATTCTAAATCTCCAATACAATGCTAGGAGGTTTAAACTTATGACACTTTGTTGTACAAGTGTTGTAACAAGTTTCATTTAACAGTGTATAACAAATGTTTACTTCAATAGACCTAGTGTAATCAATTAAATTCACAGGGAAATAAATTGTTACACTGTTCAGCTTAATTGACATGAAATGTTGCAATATTATTTCAACTGTTTCAATATATACATTATATAGGATACGTAAATCGTTGAGATAATCTTCCTTCTGCACCCTCAAAAATTCAACGTTCCAACAGAGTAGCTTTAGCTAACCTCAGCCAGCAAAGCGTCGTTTTTAATGCGATGAGAATTACAGTGTCATTTTCTTCTTTTGACAAGACGTATCTATACACGCTACATTCACATACATACAAACTATTCAGATCTACGATCTCTTCAAGTTTTCTGAAGCATGCGAACGACACGAGACCCGTCGTTTTGTGTACACTGATATATATAAGTTTACGTTTGATAAATAAAATCTCGCTGTACATAATTTATCTACAATTCTACACATCTTACCCTGGTTGTGAAATAAAATCCAGCAACTTTCCGCTCATCTCCACCGATGACAGCAAATTTCACCTCGTCTACATGACGATAAATGATGACCTTCGTCAGACTTGTAGCAGCCGCTAAAATTTCGGGGATTGGAGACAGCAGCCAAAACTTGTAACTTGATAGTTAGATCGATTGTACTCACTCCTTCGCTTAGTTAGAAACCTTTATGACGATATACATAACCACTGAATACTAAGTGTCGTTTTTGTTCCGTGTGCTCGTATAGAATTATATTCATGATTTTGAAATAGTTGAAGATAGCTAATTTATAGAATTAAATTAATTGTGAAGATTATATATGAACAGAAGAAGGAGGTGGGTTTACTTGAAGGCACAGCCGTGTTCTACCCTTCTGGGTCAAGTATACGCTTACGCACAGGGCTAAACATGTTCTGTGACGGGCCATGCTAGTGTCACTGCTCCGTTAGTATCGCTACAACAGTTTGGCAATTTTCCCATATCAAAAACCAAAGTTTGGAAACATGGATAACACAAGTCGACTTGGAATTATTCTGTGGATTTATTTGAGTATATTTGTGCAGATGACAGTCGCTGAAAAAGGGTTTTCAACGGTAAAGTTGCGCCCCTTCGATAGTGGTTACGACGACGAGCTGTGGAAACCTTACACGGGTAACAGTTTAAAGGAAGATTACGAACCCACTATGGAAATATATCGATACTACCAACTCCTGAATGTTTCTTCTAAAGCGGCGAGGGAGATTAACATAAACATTGAGCTAGAGACCAAGGTAAGATCGTGTTTAAAATACAGTTTAATTAAACAGTTGACGTCTGCGTCTCTCCCTGCTAAAGCCCCCTATTTATGATAATAAACGTTTTATTCTGGGACACTTACTATTTGTCCAACCTTTATTCGAGTCGGAGCAAGACATGGTCTTGAAATATTTTATTACATTTCAAAACACATGGCAACATGTTTATGACTTGCTCTTGATATTTTTGGTTTAACTTTCATATTTATTAGTTACAGATGTAAACGATACTTGAAATAAAAAAATAGTTTTAAACCCACACAAGTTTCCATTTTATCGAGTGCACCCCAGCCTTAAAAGTGTTATGGACATCTAGAAAGAACAGTATTGCTGAAAGTAGTGATTGTGAAAAAACCTGTCTTGCCTATAATGTTTTGTTGCTTGCACTTTACACAGAGAATGTAGCTTTGTGCCCAGTCTGTGTTGAATTTGAGTAAACGGTTATAACTTATTTATTACAATGTTGTGCTGTTTTGTTTACATTTGAATGTATCATGCAAATTGAAATTTTTAAATTCTTTAACGTTTTTAATTTCACAAAACGATCACAGGTGCATGTTATATGAAAAAGCAATAATATTGATTTTTTTCTTTAAAGAACATTAATACATATAATTAGGAAATCAAATGAAATATCAAAAGTAAATTAACCCTTTAGTAAATGTTTGAAATGAAAGAATTAAATGCTTCATGTTTAAAAAATCACTTAATTTATCTATGAATGCAGGCATGCATCTGTGTATTATGCAGGTAATTTATGACTTGCTATTGAATTTCTATGCATTGTATCAATATCATAATATTCAACTCACCTTATATTATAATAATGAATTAAGTAACAGTCCCATAGGTTATAACAGTTATGAATCATTTTGATTGGATCATGTGATAGGGACACAAAAGGTTTACAATACGTCTTTGATTTGGTTGTAATAACCCTATACATTAACAGACGATGAATATTATATACACACAACATGACAACCCACCCACTAGATCAGCTATAGGTTGTATGTACCTGTGTGTCCCCTTCCTAATTATAATGAAAGGGGAGATATCATCTGCGGAAAATTTCAACCTTGTCAGGAAACACTGACAGATCTCCAACATTTAATAAAATAAATTACAGTAGCTGTTAGCTCGACCACTGTCACTCAGTGGGATACGCAAGAGGGAATGTAAACGTCTTCTTAGGCAGAACGAAATATGTGTGTTGAAAACAATTTCATCTGGGGCTTAACTTTGCACTTTTGGCCTGAATCAGTGCAGACACTTAAACCATTTTATATAAGACATTAGTCTTTGCCTTGAATTCGGTGCCAACCATTCTTCTAATGCATGGCGAAGTATAACAAAGTATGTACCACACAGAACTGAACACTTCACCCCTGAAGACACATTTGAACCCTTCCAATTCATAAGGTTGGAATAGGTCATTATGAAACTTCAGGGGTCAATGACTTAAGCTAATGTGCAATACTTCATTTGCATATATTTCTAACTTGTTTCTCATATATGCAAAGGTAATCTTTTTCTGTACTATAATTTAGTAAAGATTTTTTTTTTTTTTAGGAAAACCATATGGCAACATTAATTTAGCTTATTTCAGATTACACATGTTAATTTAAAATACTATATTATACAAGCTCTGATGTTCTACTTGCATTAAGATTGACAAGTATTGAGCAGATGAAGGACCACCATGCAATAAGATTGACAAGTATTGAGCAGATGAAGGACAACTTTTACTTTCATAATTCAAAACAATATATTGTTAACTTTTATTATTGTCTCTGAAGTCAATAGCATTCCTTACTGAATTTACATAACTTTGTGCATTGCCTGTTTTTCGAAACTATTAATGTCTATAGCACACATGGACTCATTTAAGGTACCAGCTGGAACATTATATACCTCAAAAAGTTTTTTTCTTAACCAGGGTATATTTGGCATTTATATACATAAAGAAGTGGACTTCCCTTTTACTACAAGTGGGCAACATTTACAAACTCTATTTTCTCTTGGAGTTTTTGGTCAGTTTAATTGATACTTATATAGGCTAACCTGACTAAAGGGACCACTAAATTGTATAACCAGAACTTATATAGGCTAACCTGACTAAAGGGACCATTAAATTGTTTAACCAGAACTGATATAGGCTAACCTGACTAAAGGGACCACTTAATTGTATAACCAGAGCTGATATAGGCTAACCTGACTAAGGGGACCATTAAATTGTTTAACCAGAACTGATATAGGCTAACCTGATTAAAGGAACCACTTAATTGTATAACCAGAGCTGATATAGGCTAACCTGACTAAAGGTACCACTTAATTGTATAACCAGACCTTATATAGGCTAACCTGACTAACGGGACCACTAAATTGTATAACAAGAACTGATATAGGCTAACCTGACTAACGGGACCACTAAATTGTATAACAAGAACTGATATAGGCTAACCTTACTAAAGGGACCACTAAATTGTATAACCAGAACTGATATAGGCTAACCTGACTAAAGGGACCATTAAATTGTTTAACCAGAACTTATATAGGCTAACCTGACTAAAGGGACCACTAAATTGTATAACCAGAACTTATATAGGCTAACCTGACTAAAGGGACCACTTAATTGTAAAACCAGATCTTATATAGACTAACCTGACTAAAGGGACCATTAAATTGTATAACCAGAACTGATATAGGCTAACCTGACTAAAGGGACCACTAAATTGTATAACCAGAAATTAACTCAAGTCCCACAATTGGTCTTGGTCCTTTGGTACATATGACGATTGGAAGGCACAATTTTTGTAGAAACGTAATACATAATGTAAAGGGTGTAAGGTTGGTTCATATCAACACATTACATTGTATTGGAGTATAACATTACGCAGGACTCAAAGAAAATTTCAAATTGTTGTCTGAGAGTTGACTTAAAAGACGGAAAATTTCAAATTCGTGTCTGGAACCAGGCTTACCTCATTCACCCCTAACATTTTATAATGAACTATTCCAACCTTTGAATTGGAAGAGTTCAAATGTTTCTTCAGGGGTGAATGAGTTAAAAGGGTGTTTTCACCGTCAGTGACCATATGGGAAAACCAAACAACTATACTACAAAAAAAATACGGTTCATCCTTTCCTGACATTGAAGTAAAAAAAGAAATAGCTAGAGTTCTGTTGCTTTAACTAGACATTCACCCTGAGGACACATTTGAACCCTTCCAACTCAAAGGTTAGAATAGTTCATTATGAAATTTCAGGGGTGAATGAGTTAATTCACTTCTGATGTAATTAAAGTAAGCTTCCTTCTTCCCCCCCCCCGTCCCCCCTCCCCAGATCCACAATTTCAAGGTTATTACATAATGTTTTGTATTGGTTTCCTGTCACACTTCCGCCTGCAATGGAGAATCATTGGATTAAGTTTCATCTGCAGCCCCGCAAAGAACAAGAACAAAGCCCCTGGGAATATTTAAAAACAATCACAAGAAAAAGCATTTTTTATTCAAATAAATATGGACACACTACCGCCCTAAATAAAAGTACTGTTAGAGAAAGTTTGTAGTACTTAGTTTGAAGTGTAAACGGTAGTAGACACACCAGGTTAATTCACGAGATGTATCACCGAACTTCCAATTTTTTAAAACTTAAAGGCATTAAATCGGAGGGACCCTTATGATGGTGGTAGTGGAATGTGAAATGTAAGGAAATTCCACCATAGTTTTGAGAAGGTTGATGATTCATCTTAATTAATACGATAATTTACTGGTATGAAACACCAAATACCGGCTTTGGTTCAAAACAGTATCCTGAGCTTAATGACATGAAAGCGGTTCTATTAGTGCAGTATTGCTTTACACACAAATGAAGGTTAGGGACCTTATCTAACAACATGTGTGAAATTTAGATTGAACTACTTATTTTAGCTGTTTGATCAGTTTAAACACCAATTTCGTCATTTGGTACTCTGAACAAGTGTGTTTTTAGTTGTTTATGTAATCAACGTATTCAGGTACTTTTCAGAGCTATGTGCACTTGACAAACGACATTAGTTCTTACATCAGTTACAAGTATCAAGTATTGTGTACTCCTAACATTAAGCAATGGCAACCACCATTTGTAAGTTAGATATATATACAGCGTTTGGGTTAATTTAATTGTAACAACTGGTTTACCGTTTGTCTGTATAATGTCACAAGGTGAAAGACTGTGCTGGGTACCTTCAGTATGGTATATATCAGTGAGGTAGCACTCTAAAGTTGGTGTCAGATTCACACTATTGCAAGTAGGAGAATACACCAAAATAGCGCCTCCAGCACACTAGCATTCATAACACACATGGAGGTACATCCTTGAATGGCATATAATAGTTGTTAATATTGCTGCTAAACGCAATAAACCAAACCTAACCTGGAAACAGTTCATATCGGTTTTACAACATCACAAAATGTAGGTGAATATAATCATGAAAAACCTGTTTTCTCTGCCCATATTCATATCATCGATGTTGCCATTTATTGTTTTCATTGTGATGGAAAAAAATGTGAGGTCAAACAAATCATAATATCTGTCCATTGCGAATAATATCTAAGTTGTAGTAAGTGTTATAAGTTTATATGCATGAGATTTATATGTTCAGAAAATATGACAATGGTACATTATATATTCACTCTATACCAGCAGTCGTATGATCAATTTCCAATGTGCAAAATGGAAAGCCTGTGTCTCTTAAATGATAAAAAGTGCTGGCATTTCATAATCTTATTTATACTTAAATAAAATTTGTTATAAAGTGTGCAAGCTGGTTATTAAAGTCACAACGATGATATACAGTTATAGACAATTAATATCATATTCCATACTTATATTTATATATCAGTAACATTGACACTATATATTACTGACCATTATACAGAATTACCTTGACCAGGTAAAAACCGTCACCCTGACCATCATATTTGTGATGATCA